ACATACCATATAATATGTAGGCAACCACCATCACAAAATAAAAGACCCAAACATATTTAGTGTTACTCATTTTTCACTTATTGTTAGTTAAACCTTGCATTTAAGGAATTTATTCCCAAAAAATAACAACCTCAATCAGTTACATTTAATTAGTCCCATTTATGTTCCTTGTTTGTTCATTCATTCGTAGATGTGTGTGACTAATTTTTAAGCAAATAAACGTGCCAAAAAAGTGTCCTTCCTCTTTGCAAATCGTGATTTGTGGAGAAATTCAGATTTCAGTAACATAAAGTGTGGAAGACTGGCAGAATGTTTAAAGCTGCACTAATAAATATTTGTAAATAAAGAATGGATTAAATGACTATGTGTAATGTGAAAGGGGTCCCTTGTAGTGACTAATACACAGCACAGTGTTTAGGTTTTAGGTCCGCAACTTTTTGCTTCGTGCTACGTTTTAATATCGCGAGATTTCGTCCCATGATCTCGTCACACCCCTACACATTACACTACCTGCCCAGGAATAAACAGCAGACAAACTACCAACTAAATAGTAGGGGTGACCTAGGGCGTTGTCATGCTCTTGAAACACTGGGGGCTTAGCCCAGCCCAGAAATATTTCATGCCCATTAATATTAATGGGGAGTCTGGTGGTCCTCCCCTGATAAAATTGCACGTTAAACATTTAATTTCCTGCATTCTGGTGAATTTTTCTGCACCAATTTATTGAGTAAATGTGTTTATTTTATAAAGGGTAACCCAAAATTCAGGTGACAGGTGACAATTCAAAATCTAACAGAATACAATGCTGTAAGGCTCTCAGGCATTTTGTGTTGCTTTCAGATATGTTTCTCCTCTAGATCAACTTTTCTCATGTAATATCAGCCCTGCTGAGTCAGCACTCATGCAGGCATGATTTACTCCTCCCTCCTATTCTGTGTCTTTGTCTGGGGAAGTAACCTCTTTAAATGTGCATGTGGTACCTTTTCACCTCAGTGAAAATGAATTCATTTTAATTCAGTTATAAACTCCTGGACTTTAATAGCTCCTGTGTTTCAGCAGGTTTTCTGCTCATGTTCAATACACACATAAACATTCTCTCCCACATATCTGTTCTCTAACATATACAGAATAACATATTATAATATTTTGAGAAAAAAATCACGTCAAGAATAGTTGAATAGTTGATTCGGTGCTTCGAGAGAAGGAGCCTGATTCGCCAATGTCACAGGAGAATCTTTGCAGAGGCATTATGAAACAACAACTACTAAATAGTGGAGCATTTAGCAGCTAAGGAACCAGATATTTCTCTCAGGAGTTGGTGGAGACTAAAACAGAGCTAGGAGAATTAATATTCAACATCCATTTGTCAGGAGACCCGAAACAAAATGGCAGCTGTGTTGCTATTAATGGTTTTAAATGGACCAATTGATTTCTAAGCCAGTGCTCAGATTTAAAGTGGGACTCAAAGGTACCAAAGAATTCAGTGTATTGTATGTAAGATTTCAGAACTATCATGGCTTTAGCACACATAAACAATAAAACTGTGTATAAAACTGTTAAAAAGTGTTCAGAATAGAGCAGTTGCGGTGAAGTAATTTTCCCCACGGAACTATGCTGGAGCTCAACAGGTGCGGTATTATCACACTTTTCATCAATGAAGTAATTTGGTGCCATATAGCATAGTAAGAGTGTCTGTGGCTCTCACCTCATTGCACAGCGAGCCGCTAACAGCGGCTTTATGGTTGGAGCAAGCTAGCTGCTGAGTGGTAGTCAACAACATTGCCAAGCAAGTTCGTTTTTGTAGTTTGACCATGTCTTTTTCACACATAACGTTAGCTATATCATTACCTTCAGGGCATGTCTATCACGCCAATTTACATATCGCAGCAATGTAAACACACACACGCACACACAGCGGTGCGGAGAAAAATAGGTTGTCCACAACTAACCTCTGCGCTGTAGTAAGGTTATAACTAAATTTCCATGAAAAACAGCTGCAGACATCCAACACACTATGCTCGTTAGTGCGTGAGCTTCAAATGAGGCTTACAGTTTCTCTCAACTGTCCCTGAGCCTGCTAGCCACATTAGCCACACAGTATACCAAGTTAGCTAACATTAAAAATAAACAGTAAAACAACACAAAACACGGCAACACTTACAGCTTCCAAGTTAGTCAGGTCACGTACAGCCCACGGCGATCCGTCCTTGAACCGTTACAGAACTTGTAACAGTTGTGGAACGTTTTTAAAGCACTAATTTATTAATTTAACACGCCCTTAAGTGTAAAGTATGAACATTGCGGTTGTTGTGGTGCTTGCCATCCTCCGTGTTAGGCTTGACCAATAGCGCGGTATCTCAATTTTGCGGTTATCACGACAGCCCTAGTTTAGAATCATCAATGAAGACATGTTTGAATGATTAAACAGTTTATTGAATAACTCAAGATAACATCAAGATTGATGAAGATATTGATCCAAGTTTTAATTTTTTTGGTGGCACTCCATCCTCCATACAGCCAGCAGCTACTCCTTATTTTCAACCCATATAAAACTGTCTAGTGACAAACTTATTTATGATTTTAAAATCTTGGCAAATGTGTTTCTTGGCACAGCAGTGAGTCATCCCATAAATGGCTTCCTGTTGACACTTAGAGCAAAACTCAGTATGTGGGAGTCTCTGCAACATCGCAACCTGATCTGGCTAGAGTGGCAACAAGGGAAGAGAGTGACATTATTTATTGATGTTGCTAACTGATGTTCATGTGCCATTTACAGACGCTCTGATGACTAAAGTGCCCATATCTCTGTTGGTTTCCACCAACATTACCCAGTAGTGGTTACTATTGGTCAGCAACAAAAGCTCCAAAGACCTTAGTTTTGCTTTCAGAAAATTCGGTCTGTAGTCATGCCTGCCACAGAAACACTCCTGGGTCACTTCTTATTGTATTATCCAGTGAAATTATGTTTTGTTTGAGAAGTAAAATTGTTTTGATGGGAGAGGTTGGGGGAGGGTTATTTTTTTATTGAAAGGGCATAGTTGTAGTCTGTATAGATGAATTGCAGGGGGTGTGGGATGTATGGCTGCTGGTGATAGTGCCTGTAAAATAGTTTGGTATGACCAGATAACTCCCATGGGGAAGATGTTATACCTTATCTAACAGAAGAGTGAAACAGTTGATTTGTAGAGACTGTTGTAGCCGTTCCGTTTTTGAATGATTTAATGACTGTACACAACAGTAACCTATTGCTTTGCTGACTTTTTACAGTCTTTAGTTTTCTTGGTTAACCACCAGTTTCACCTCATGTGGGGGTGTTTTCTGGTTAAACACTTCACATGTCTTGTGTGTCTCGTGTGATTGATGTTTTTCTTATGTCTAATGTGTGTGTCTTTATTTTCTGACAATTTCTGAAAAAACAATTAGCTTTTTGTATCTGCATTTTTTTTTTGTATATTTGTGTTATTAAATGATTTGAATTGCACCAGTTGTGCCTGTGAGTCTGCATTTAGGTCCTACATTGAAAATAAACTGTTCCGGTGATTTAGTATTTTTAGTATAGCACTTCCTAAAGTTGAGCAACACACAAGAGTGGTATTCAAAGAAAATGGTCAAAACTGATGCATTGTCAAGACCCAAAAAGGGTAGATCTCAAATTCCCATAATGCAACCCTAATGACATTAGGCTGCAACCCTGATGACATCATCTGGGTATTTCTTCAGAAAGCTCTCCCTCTAGCGCCACAGAGCATGTATTATACTGTTTGTACAGACTTGTATAACCCTGACAAGAAAAATGACCTTGTGTAAAACTGTCAATCAAATTCAATTTGTTCACCTGTGATGCAGCAATGCAAACATGAGGAAACATGTTGATTCTTCCACTGGCTGTTAATTTAAATGTAACTGGCTGCTGTCATCTCAGTATGAACCATAGGCTAAATTAAACGGCTGTAAATTATTCCTGGCTGATTAGAAAGGTGAAGATAATGAGGTTAGACAGAGCTAAAACTGCTGCGTATTGTGCACTATGATGTGTCTGTTTCTCCACGTCATTTAGCTTAAAAAATCAACAGAGTGAAGTGTGGCTGTGGACAATTGCCACTTTTGGTTTTCTAAAATGTTTGCTTTGTACACAGCAGCACCCGGTTTTGAACTGCCTCTACCCTTTTTCCATTACTGCGTGAGGACTGGTGGAGGGGGGGGGGGCTCAAGGTGAATACTGGGCAGGTCTCTCAGGCCGAGTGAGTGTATGCCTTCTGGAGTGGATAATTAATTCTTTGTGTTTGCCTGTCTTTACCAGGATACGGACCTGTGGCATGTCCTTCTTCCTCTCGTGTCATGTTACTGCTGGCAGGTGTTCATGTAAATGACAGAAAGGACAAAGCGTTTGAGCTCCTTTTAATTCCACAGCCGTCTGTATACTGTCAATTTAAGCTGCAGCAAGTGATGTGATTTATCTATATATTGTCAGTAGCTATCTTTGATATTTTCCTATACACAACTGTTTAGTTTAATGTATTTCCATCCTTAAACGACAGAGTAATTACACAACACTGTCGACACGAGCTTATGACATATAGGCTCTGCCATATTGTGTTGCTGCTGTCACTACGGTTGCTCTCCCCTTCAGCTGTGGTAAACCAATCATTGCTGGTTGGCATAAAACACATCACTACCGGTTCACCAGATTAGGAATGTCGCACAGACACCAGATTTAAAAACTCTATTATACTGATAAGCTTAATCAGAATTTTGTGTACTTGTGTGCCAAGGGCTTGAATGTAACGGATCTTCATTTATATGTTGAAGTCCCGCACTCCAGCTTTAAAGTCTAGATGGACTTTAGAGAGAAGAGGTAAGAGCCAGTCTGGAACTTCACTGGTCTATAATCAATCACAGGACAAGATAAAGTAAAAAAAGGACAGGACCCTGAATGCTGGTGGTAAGTTTTCTTTGCTGAGTTTTAATTTCCTCTCTCCCTTCTTTTTCTGTCGTTGCAGTGAGTAGTCAGCCTTGAGGTGGGCCAGTGATGCCGCCCCCAGCCACAAGTCCCCCTGCAGTGCCCCCACCAGACGGCGGTTGGGGTTGGGCTGTGGTGTTAGCATCTTTCGTGTCCATAGGCTTCTCGTACGCTTTCCCCAAGGCCATCACTGTCTTCTTCAAAGACATCCAGATTATCTTCGATGCCTCCTACAGTCAGATCGCATGGATCTCCTCCATCATGCTTGCAGTCATGTATGCTGCAGGTGAGTCATTGGCTGTTACCGTATCTCATTTTGACACTGGAACATGAAATCAGAGCGCCAGTGATGCTAGGTGACATTCTGTCAACTTACATGGTGTTCTACTGACCTGAGAATGTCATACTTTACGCTACCACTCAAGAGTTTTAGGAAATATGTATTGAAATATAGTAGTTCAAGTCCAGTGAAAAACCTTGATGATACAAAAGTAAGCAGCAAACTGCCAAAGGTAAAAACAATGTTTACGTCACCAAAACTTAACCTAAGGAGTTCATTATTTCACTGTAGGATCAATGGATGACCAACTGGTCTGTCTTCCTTCATTAATATTATTTAATATATATAATATCTGAAATTTACATTATTTCTCAGTTTTGCTGACCTGAACTTTTTCTTTACCTTCTTTGGTTATTCTACAGCAATGGAAGTAAATGAAGCCTTGAAAGTTGATGCAAAAACAAATTTTACAGCTGTCCCAATTTGTAAAACCATGGAACAGCCTGTGTTAATACCTCATTTGTACAATATTGCAACTAAAAAGGCAATAATGCATGAAGACAGACCTACAAATGTTTATTCAAGACAAATTTTCCCTTTTACAAAAATCTCACCTGGTGTTAGTTTCCATTCCAACCATTAGCAGTCTGTCCCTTCAGAACATTCAACATTTAGGAGGACCCCTAATGCTTTTTATTCCAATCAGAAGACTTAGTAAGCAAGGCTTACTAGCTTCCACTCTCATTAGCCTAGCTTGCTAAAGTTACTTTTTGTTCATATATTTCAACACCTGCGGAGTGTGTTTGTCCCACATTATACAAAGAAGGGGCCTAGCTGCGTGTGAGCTCTCTCTTTCATGGTCCCAGTTGGGTACTCACAGCAACGAGAGGTCCTGTACCCTCAGCACTTATTATGTTACACTGTGAATTGAATACTTACAAAGTCACGGAGTTACGTACGGAGCGCTCACATCACAGATGGGTCTACAAGCACAGCTAACAATGCTGGTCCGTGAGCTGGTTTAATGCATGTTTGTTATTTTATAATCAATTGTTAGTGCCCGTCCACACAGATAATGTGTTTATATATATATTAGATTCACCTAGGGCTGGGCGATAAAACGATAACTATTAGTATCGCAATATAATTTTCTTCAATAACAATATAACAAATGTTTAATAAATATGATTAATTTGAATCACAAATGAATCAGAGCTTGTGTTTTTTATTAAGATATTTATTTTGTTGAGGAAAAGCACTGAAAAAAGATTATACTTAATTTTACTCATGCTGAAAAATAATTTTGTTATTATAATTATTTTGAATGTTCTACCTCAGTTTGGTAAAATGATCCACTGTCTGTCATGTTCTGACCATAAAAAACTTTCTTAACTTTCACTCAGGAGCAAAAATATGCCTTTAAACTTTATTTATAATTTATCATGATAAATATCAATATTGACTGATATGAACTTTTTTCCTTGATAAGATTTTTGGCCATATCGCCAGACCTTAGCACACTCCAATAGGAAAGAGGAGCTTGAATCCAGGCCCTCTATTTTAACTATGATATTCTAAATCAGAATGTTAACCTGCTTCTAGGGGAATCTCTTTAAGATTTCATTTTGTTACACATGTTGTCATTGTAAAGGATTATTTGTGTTGCAAGGAGGTGGTGCATTGTTTCCTGAACAGATCCTCCGTTCAAATGGCCAGTAAACATAAATGAAAAGATGGAGGCGCATTGGATTCATCTTGTGAGGATTTAGTCAACAGTGTTTGGTCTCATGGTGGACTTTTGTTTTTTTTTCTGCCTCAAGATACAGTTGGAAATAAGAGGATAGAGATGGAAGTAGGCTGTGTCACAAAACCATGTCCTGGATTTGAAACCACAGCATCAGAGGACGCAGGCACAGCATCACACGCTGAGCCTCCAGACAACCAGGGAATTCAGTCAATTACAGATCTACAATCTAGATTATAAAAGCAGCATAAAAAAATCAGCACTTTGTTAGGATTTGTATTTTTTATTGCATACCTAAAATAATTATTATCGAGAGCTCAATCACTATTCAAATTCAAGATTAAGTTTATTTTATTTGACAAGGACATAGCATTGGAACTGCAACATACAATTATGCACAAGCACCAGATGTACTGTATTTAGTGTTTGTTGCAGAACACTAATTTAAAACCACCTGTCCAGAGAAGGCTTTTAAAAAAGATAAAATAGAAAATAAAAATAAAACAGGTATAAAAAATACTATTTAAATATACATAGAAAGGCTCATCTTTAATTATATGACACTGACACAGTGCTACAACTTGCTTTGTTTCTTGGATAAGGATCTTTTGAAGAGGCAGAATGTGTATTGATCAGGTCATTTTCTCCACCATATTCTCTGCTCACTTGCTGTATTTCCCACTTTGGCTTCAGCCCGGCAGCCTAATGCTTGGCAGTGCCATGACTGCCATCTGTCTTCGCTGTAATCCTCCTGTCACTAGATCCACTGCTGCTGTCACCATCTGTACTGGTCAACAGCAGGAAATCTCATTCCCTTTGTTGTATAGTGCAGTGTCCACCAAGAAGAGTGAAAGAATTCAGTAAATGCTCAATTCAGACTTCTTGTTACTGTCAGTAGTCCATATGTTAATAGAGAGATGTTGCACAAGGTTAAGTCAAATATTGTGACTCATAATTTAAAGAATATTAATTTGTTAATTTGTATGTGTTGTATTATGGACACAATGTGTCAAAAATGGTCCAGGCCTGTCCAGGTGAACATCCTCTGTTGTAACATCACCTGCAGTAAAGCTCTGCTATGACACAGCACTACTAGCTATATTTGCTCTGTTCATCTGCTGATTTCTCACAGCAGGACTTTGTTAATTTTGCACTTTGCAGTTCTTCCTGTCTTGAAACTTGCCCGAATGAATGGAGCGGAACAGGTTGCCTTATGGGCCCTATTTTAACAATCTAAGCGCATGGCATGAAGCACATGGTGCAGTTGCGTTTACAGCGTAAGTCCAAATCCACTTTTGCTAGTATAAATGCAGAAAAAAGGGTGAGCGCGCCAGGCGCATGGTTCAGAAGGGTTGTACTATGTCTGTAAATTAGTCATGTGTGTAACATGCAATAAACCAATCAGACTGTCAAATTCTTTGATCAGGAAGCCTAATGTTACTCTACGGTTCTATGGTTTATATGTGAAGTGTATGAACTACACTGCAGCCTCTGTTAACAGTGACAGACTGACAGATAGATCCATGTTATATATGCGTCTGTCCTCTATTAAAAGGTCTGTATCCTCACTGCGCTGCATTATTATAAACTATGATGAACTGGTCATGGGTCACATCTCTCTCTCTTCCATAGTTTATTTATTGTGTTGATGTATGATGATGTGATGCTGCGCTGTTTGCCGCTTTGCGCCAGGTATAAGGCCATATACAGTACTTTGGGGTGTTGATTATGCAAATGGTGATCTTACAGACATCAAACAGAGATGAGTTTATTTTTCAACTGTAAAATGTCTTAGTACATATTTTGGTAATGTTTTTTTAATAGCTATAATAAAGAATTTCAATATTAGACATGGTTTAGCCCTGTGAATATTAACTAACTTAAGGTTACTTCAACTAAAATCTCTGTTACTATAAGTAAAATGTATCGACCAACAAGAAAGTTTGCTCTCCGATTTCTTTGATTTAGTACCATAGTCTGTTTTTGGAGACAAAGTATTTCAACTGACCTCTGACCCCACTGAGAGAGCATTTACCATGAAATGTGTGTCAGCCACATGACAGTTGTTTTACCGTTCACCAGCCATTTCTTTAGCTTTAGCAATGACTATGTCATTATCATGTAGTGATGTCGACAACATGTGCGGTTACTAAGCAGCTCTTGTTACTCATTCATTCATATTGATTGCACTCATCAGCAATTCATTAAACATCTGCTCTCTTGTTCTGCCTCTTACGCTGATGAAGCAATCACTGTTTGAATGCTAAATTCCTTTTTTAATTCCCCACTGGTGCGTGTGTGTGTGTGTGTGTGTGTGTGTGTGCGTGCGCGAGCGCGCGTGCGTTGGTGTTTACACTGCTCGGTCATTACTGTGAAGCTGCCTGATAATGAGCAACAGCCTCAGACACCTTGAAATATTAATCCAAATTGCAGAGGGGACCATTTACTTATCACTAATGTCCAGTGAAGACCTTGTGTTTATGGCAATCTTTTAAAACTGAACCTAAAAAAAGTTTGTTTTTAGCTTGGCGGACAGATTTTCATAGGCAAAAGATGTCGGATTGGAGTGTGTTATCTTTCAGTTTTAAAGATGACATGAAAATCATCCAAACAGAGATGCAATATTTTCACTCAACAAACAGAGTTGAATACAAAATACATACATAAGTTTTAATCGTTTAGAATCGTATCTTTGATTTCTGTTTTTAGCCATGCTAGCATACAGTAACTATGGATGGCAATGTTGGTTGGTTGGTCAGCCACCTTTCCGTAACTGCTTGCTCCTCCCTCTCCCTACCTACTTCCAGTCTGTTTCATGCTAGCAAGTTTTTTAATATCATTAGTTTGACTGCTTTGGGATATTTACAGCAGAGGTTTCGTTGAAGGTATTTTATAGAATAACAATTCAGTAAATCTAAAAATATGGATAAATGAATCACTAATGACTATAATCAAACTGCTCAGTTAAGATTTGACTTGTTTCTACAGGACAGCTTTAGGAAGCCATACAATATTTTGCATCCTTGTAAATGCATCAACTAATGGAACAAACGGTTTGACAGAGCTAAAATGTCATGCTCCTAACTTACTATGAGATTTTAAACAAACCCAAAGAATCTGTATACTCTGCATAGAGATAAAAAAGACAGCACTAATTTAGTTTCTCTATCTTGCCTATGGGGCTAAAAAAACAGGCTTGGGCACTATTCAGTTTTTCAGTGCAATCCTTCACAGCATTACATCAGATAGCTATGAAGTGGTCCCTCATCCTCTCAGCACAGCAAGCGTCGCTCTGTGATGACGTGTTTAAGCTGCAGTCTGTGTGTCTGTGTTGGATCAGTGTCGCTAATCCAGACAAAGACAGACTTGACCTTGGGGCGGAGCAGCGTGAAAACAGTGCACACCTGAGTTACATTTACTGTCTGTCATAAAGACTGATAGAAGACTGGATGCCAAATATACAGTATTGCAAACATGATCACCTGTTAAGGAAGCAAAAGTAGCTTTTGTTTCAGGGACGCACATGAAGGATTTCCTTTATATTTTCATATAAGGAAAACCATTTTTTTCCATAGATGTCTATGTAGAATATCAGGTGTCATTAATTCATTTTTATTTCCACCCTGATCAAAACTGAAAGGTCAAAACCAGTTTAAGCCATTATGCTCGACTAAATCAAGGCTTTTAGCGGAATTTTTATTTGCTCTACGTAAGAGCCCCTTAAGAATGTTCACTTGAACTTAAAAAAGCATTTTCGACTTTAAGAGCATCCTGAGGTCTCCTTGGATTTAATGCCTGTGAAACTGATTGAGCACATCTGCAGTCTTTTAATGTGCATGTTTGATTGGATAACCCAAAGAGCATGCTGTTTGTATGGGGACTATTTCTAAAGTAGAAAGTCATTCAGATAGAAAATGTTGTGTCAATGAGTTCTGTGAAATGTCGAGTGTAATGGAGAGATTGTTCCCAGGAAAGTTGCTATAATATTTTTATATTAACACATGATTAAATGACTGCATGTAATGTGAAAGCTTTCATTTGTACTTACAAACCCATAGAGAATTATCACACAAATCTGCACACTCGCCGCTCTCATTAGCATCATTTTGGAAACTGCCCAGTGCAACCACAGTCTGAATTGAGCAACATTAGCAAGGAAAGGGCTTTGCTTATGCAGCCCTCAGTGGTGGTAATATTCTCCACCCAGATATATCTTGCCAGTCTGCGATATCACTAGCCCACTTTTTGCCCACCATGTTAATGTCATCCATTTTGATGCTGCTTACTGTTACACAGCTCTAAACTTTACCTCAAAGGCTCATGTCAACCTGAAAATTTGGATAAAGTTTCAGCACATAAATAAATCGGGTTTAGGCTGGCTCAACTTCCATTATGTCCCTGCAAATATCTGTGTAATGGGTCGGGATCCAGACACACAGTAACTTCAGAAAACCATGTCTGTGTCCTCTTGTAGCAGAGAAGCTTTTTAAAAGTTGTTTGCTTCCATTTCTGTGGACTTTATCCTATTTGAAGTGTGATGGATAGCCGGCACCCTCACATCATATGCTGTACCAGCCTCTTTGCTTCAGCTCACATTAAAGGGTCATGGAAAAAACTGTTAGACACATTTCTATATGTGTCATTACCCTTTGGGATGTAGGTGGTTATATTTAGTGTGGGGTTTTGTCCACTGTGTAATGAAGTCCACGCTCTGCCTGGCCAGAAGATGATAAGCCTTTTTCAAGGGAGGTAATGTGCAGGCTCAGGGGCTTCCTCATCTTGGCCAATTCGGGCCCCGCCAAGCCCCCGAGAATACTGATCACTGCTGTGGATGCAAATGAGGGGAACTATCCTCAAGGTCGAAAAAAGATTCATGCAGAGCAAATTAAGTCAGATGACTCTTCGCCCGTTGTGACTTTTTAAATTGCACTACAGAAATACGATACATCATCTGGCTGGTAATGAGAGCATTATTTAAAAAAATATACATCTTTCATTACTTCTCTCTCTCCCTATTCGATTGACACCTCCTGTACTTAAAATTCAGCAAAGGGATGGGGGACAGTGTCAATTATAAGATGCACAGACTCCTAAAAAGGGCTTTAAGCATCCACATTATTCATAGGATGTTATGTACCAAGAGATATTAAACAGATCAAATGTTCATATACCTTAAGTGGAAAAATGTAAATAATAATAATAATAATTAAAAAATTATGAACATAGTGAGCATACTAGGAATAAAACCTTACTTACCCCAGTAACGGATGACTCACCTTATCAGAAGACCGAACAACGTTTACAGTGATAACTGAGAATACAGATGTTGAGTCATTAGTATTGAGGAAACTTGCCTCATCATTATGCTCTTTCTGTCCATGTATTCTGTGGCTGGTTTTAATATGGGCAGTACCGAAGTAGTAGTCACAACAAACGCCTGTAGTTATCATCCCTAGTCATTCTAACATTTCAATCAAACAATTATTGTATATTAACTATGGATCAAACTGTCATGTCAAAGAAGGCAATCATAGTGGTTAATCCACAGAGGGTTATCAACTGACTCTGTAGTTCCTGTTAGCTTAAAAAAGCATTGTAGCGACTTTCAGCTCATGGTTTTGGTTTTCCTGCCTGTAATTTTTATTGTTCTGGTTCAATTTCACCACTCTCATCAACTTTGTTTCCAGCAGCAGCAGACAGCGATTTTTTTTTACCCACAGTACGCAACTAAGCAGCACATTGACAAAGTTAGCAAATAGCTGGTGTAGCATTTTGCTGCTAAAGGGACAGATATTATTACCCTCAGGGGTTGCTGGAGACCAATCCAGAGCTAAAAGTAGAGTGAAAATAGGACAGAATCATCAGGTAGACACAAACCTGTCTCCAAATGAATACTAATGTTGGTCTGTGCTGCTAGATGTGTAGATTGATAACTTGCTAGATGTGTAGTTTAAGAACTGTTTGTAAAAATGTTCGCCATATTAACTATACAAGGTGATACAAGGTGCAGAGATTCAGGAATTTGATGATCAAATAGCTTTTAAACAAACCCCTGCTCCACCAGATGATCAAAACCATATTTCCGACACTTTATGCAGATGAACAATATTACTTGATGCACCTTTTCCAATACAGACATAGTAATTTAAAAAAAACATTATACTGAATAGAAAATGAAACTCTTATATGGTCTTCTAAATATTTTCTCATCCTTCACAATGTCAGTTAATTCTATTAAATTGATTTGACAGGATGCAATGGGAGTGCCGTGTTTAAAAATTGAAACAGCCCAGTTGCTGCTATTAATAGAAGTTGTGCTCCCACTGGTGTACAGCATTAACCAGATTAAATCTATATGCACTCACTTGCAGTGATCCTGAATACTCTAAACATCCGACATGTGGGTTGATTGAATGTTTTCCGTTTGTTTCAGGTCCCATCAGCAGTATACTGGTCAACACATACGGCTGCAGGCCCATCGTCATGATGGGGGGCTGCTTTTGTGCCACTGGCATGATCTTAGCTTCCTTCTGCACCAGCGTGGTGCAGCTTTACATCTGCATAGGAGTTGTTGGTGGTAAGTCCATCTAATCCACTTAAGTCCATTTGAGTTAATTTGATTAGCCTCTACTTTTAGGTAGCAGGTTAAAAATAACTGTATTAGGAAGAACATTTGTTTTGTTAAAGTCTAATTTGGTTCTTGACTTAATCTACCTCCAGCAAAATCATTTAGTTCCCTCATGAAAGCTGAAATATTCCCTTCATTAGGCTTTATAAAATCTTTCAGGCATATTTCAGAGACCTACTGTAGATACAGGATAGCTATCTACCATCTGATAATAAATACCCACATGTAGAGAGCAAAATGATAGTTGTGTCTTTACAGGCCATACTAAGGGCAGCTTTGAATTTGTTAGTTTGATTTTGAACTAATTAAAAAAACAATATCAACAATAGTACTTAATGGAGCATTTGAAAGGAGGGATGTGTGCAAAAACCTGTGGTGACATTATTGGGAAATGTACATAGAAAATAGATAATAGAAGAAAATACTCTTAGATCTATTTTTGTAACAACTCTTTGCATTACAAGTTACAATTTTTATACATTCAACTGTAACATCAAATTATTATTTTAGTTTAATAACATTAGTTAATTGGAGTTAAAAATTACTAGCTAGCTAAAACAGAAAAAAAAAAAGCATCACTCATGTTGCTAGCTTGTTGCCCAGAGACACTTGACACAAAGTATTACTTTTAAATTGGTTTCATATTTAGGTGATTAATAACTAAAATAGATCCTTTTTATAAGTGTTCTTTAGCACTGGTACATAAACAGTTGTAGCATGACTGTAGTCTAATGTCTAATGTACATCTGTCATCTTTCCGCATAGGACTTGGACTAGCCTTCAACCTGCAGCCAGCGCTGACAATGATAGGCAGATACTTCTATAAAAAGCGTCCCATTGCTAACGGCCTGGCGATGGCAGGCAGTCCGGTGTTTCTCAGCACTTTGGCTCCTCTCAACCAGTACCTATTCAACCAGTTCGGCTGGAGAGGCAGCTTCCTCATCCTGGGTGGCCTGCTATTGAACTGCTGTGTGGCTGGTTCCCTCATGAGGCCTTTGGGACCACCACCCAGCAAGATCAAGAAGGACGAAGAGTTAGCCGCCATTGCCACCACAACGAAAGAGAAGGTCACTGCCTGGCAACAGTCAACAAGTACCTGGACTTGACACTCTTCAAGCATCGTGGTTTCCTCATCTATCTGTCAGGCAATGTAATCATGTTCCTGGGCTTCTTTGCACCTATTGTCTTCCTTGCAGCCTACGCTAAGGACATGGGTGTGGATGAGTACTCGGCTGCCTTCCTGCTCTCAATTCTGGCTTTTGTTGACATGTTTGCCAGGCCTTCCATGGGGCTACTGGCCAATTCACGCTGGGTCCGGCCCAGGATCCAGTACTTCTTTAGCTTTGCTGTGCTGTACAATGGAGTGTGCCACATCCTCTGCCCACTGGTGGAAAGCTACACTGGTCTGGTAGTGTATGCAATGTTCTTCGGCTTTGCATTTGGCATGGTCAGCTCAGTGCTGTTTGAAACACTGATGGACCTTGTTGGGCCTCAGAGGTTCTCCAGTGCTGTGGGACTCACCACCATTGTGGAGTGCTGTCCGGTCCTCATTGGTCCACCTCTAGCAGGTATGATCTTTCTGTCTGAGAACATTATATTCACTTGACATGTATGTTTTTTACTGCCTTCACTTTAAAGTGTGTAAAAAATGTTCTGGCTATTAGTGAGACTGCAGGTCAAAGTGACCCTAATCCGATTTCTTTGCTCATATGGGACTCAGATCTGATCTTTTTATAACAGTGTGAACAGTCCAAGTCACATGAAATCTGATCTTTTCCAGTTTGGATTTGGGCCACTTTCATATGTGGTCCAAATCGGATACAGATCAAATCTTTTTAAATGCGACCTGAGTCTGAACACTCAGATCGGAATTGATGCGCCTTGACTTTACTCTAGAGCAGCTGTCACAGCGGTGCTGCGTTTAGCGTCGTGTTATGCTTCTGTGCATGCGGGTCACTTTCAGGACATGGAGAGTACACACTGGAGTCTGATATGGGCCACATTTAAGTAATAACGTGAACTGTCAAACAAAAAAATCTGATCTGGGAAAAAAAATTAAGCATTAAGGTCTGCAGTCTGAACGTAGCCTTAGTTACAACATTGTTAAAGCCCCTTCTCACCAGAAAGGTGCAGTGGTTTTAGAAGCTTGGTAGTGACTATTCACAGTAGTTAGCTAGCATATTCCTGCTAACTGCAAACATGGTAACCAGCTGGGAATATGCCAATGCTCGTCAGCCCGAGCAGCTTGGTTGCTAATGCAATAAAATACAGGACACAATGTTCACACAGATTATTATAAAACCTTTTTTGGATCACTGACTTTTGTCTCATAACTGGCATCAAACCATGCTGTTTTTATGGAAGATATTTATATTATTTATACTATATATACTAGATATTTTTACTCTGGCAGAGGGGGTTATATAAGTGGAGTAATGCAACAAATATAATTGCTATCTTCTCTTGTTTTGGAATATACGGGTCTCCGCTCCCTCAAAGGTCACCAAAGTTGACACACAAGATTTACTTGTATGTCCTTCACCCCTGTGAGCCAATCAACTGATTGTGGCGATAACATTAAAACATTTCTGATTTCACATTGAAATGTTGTTTTTAAATGTGGTATGACCAGGCCATTACTGACATTTAGACATGTTTTCTGTAAATTATATAAATTCTACTTGGCAATACTTTCAAATTCTATAAATGATAGTTAACATTTAAAAACTTTGTGCTATCTTGCAGGAAAACTGGTCGATGTCACAAAAAACTACAAATACATGTATTTTTGCTGCGGAGCTGTCGTGATTTTGGCAAGTATTTGGCTCTTCATTGGAAACTTCATTAACTACAGACTCTTGGAGCGCGAGCGCAAGTGTGCAGAGATGTACAAACGGACTGAGACGGAAGATCCAGACCAAGTTCAGGATCAGAAGGAGGCCGATGGGAAAGCCCAGTCGTCGGAGGAGGTGGTTGAAAAAAGTCAAAAGGATGACGAACCTATGCAGCGAGAAACCAACATCTAGATCCTTGTGCTCTGCCAACAGCTAACCCTCATCTCCACGACAACCTCGCAACACCCTCCACTATGATCAAACTGAGCACCAAGCCAAGAGGTGCCTCTCGGTGTTCCACCAGGCTCTATTTTGGGTCCTCTGCACTTCTCTGAAACTAACTGCCAAAGCAAAAACTATGTTGTAGGAGGCTCAAGAGTATCAGCTGACTATAACAGAAATATTTACCATAAAGAAAAGTGTAAGATACTATTATGCATGTGAAGAGGAAAAAAGTAAGAAAATTTAGTGGAAAACAGTGTAGTAATAACTATATTTTGTTTTTTTGCTACCTTCACCTCATATCGGATTTACTGTAAATACAAGACTGCAGCTGACGGAAAAGAACATTGAAGGCAGACCCCTAGTGGCAGTTAAAATCAGGATGTGGGATTATAGTCAGTGGTATGTAGGAACTCCAAAAATTATGTCAACTGAGAGTTAACATAGCGAATCCACAGATGTTGACAGAAAATGTGTTAAATTCACAGACAATCAGCTCTGCTTAAGAAAAGAATTATCTGCTGCAGTTTGTGTATGGTTGATTTTGGTTATGTTTGTTTGTTTCAACAAGTTAAAATATTTAAATCTGTAACAACTAGCGTCATTCTGTTCTTCCTACTGTGTCTTCCGATGTGACGTGAATGCAGCATCAGCGTGTTGCCACTGTTCCAACAGCACCAGCAAACTGAATTCATGTTCAAAATTAAATCTGTCTTCACAACACAAATGAACAAGAGGAATAAATAAATAAATTTCTTTCTTTGAGTGAAAGATTACTGGTTTGATGCTAAAAAAACAGCCAGTGTCTTGGGAGTCTGAGTCTTGGTGAAGTTTTGAGCAGGACCCTAACTGTGCATTCACACCATGAGTAACTTGGTTTATGCGTTGCTCATTTTTACAGATTGTGGACAGTTGTAGGCTCTCAATGGACCAACTGTAAGATCAGACACGCTACAATTGGAGGGGCTTATTTGTTACAACATAAAACTAACAGATAAAACTTTTTCAGAAATTATCATTGGATCATAATGATGAATACACCCATTCCCCAAGCTCCAAAACTCAACGTTGTGGAGAAATGGGCAGCTCTAAAAGACTGGAATCAACTGCTCCTATTTTATGCTAATGTCCGTGAAATCATACCAATAGGGAAAAAAAATAGGAGCTGACTTCTGGCTTGATGGTGGCACCTGTTGAGCCTAAAAAGTTTGAGTCTGATTTTCCCTGTTTGTCTGCTCTGTAGGAAGCAAAAACTCCTGATGACTTGTTGATGGCGTTACTCGCAGTGTGAATGCAGCGTTAGCAATCCCAGTGCACTGGAAATGGTTGATCCATCTAATCAATTATATGTGTCAAACAAGAACGCAAAATCCTAATTGCACTGGTTGTAATATGACAATTGGGTGCCGTATAATTCCCACTTCCATAAATAAAGAACAGATGTGTTGACAGCTGGTGACACTGGTGAACATGTACTATGCTACCCACCTGAGCACTGTAATGTTGTAGTTTAGTAGTAAAACCTGCACAAATGTCCCACTTTAATACTTTCAATCAAGTCATAAAATGCTTCCTGCAAGTCCTCAGTGTTCCATATTACACTCATATACAGTATGCTGCTCTGAGAGAAATGGCCATAATTCACTCCAAACATCTTTACAAAACTGCTGCAATTCAATGAATTGAAATATGGTTGAATGTAATTTCCTCTGTGGGCCTTAATACGGTATTAATGACCAAAAACCATCTGCATAATAACGTTTTTTCTACACATAAAGCCCATGCGCAATATCATCCCTCAGATTTTAATGCAGATGTACAGGGAAATGTATTTCTTGTGGTCAGTGTGACAGTCCATTCTGTGATACATTGCCTTATATGTAATGTAATGAATGCAGTGGAGTTGTACAGTGAATACTTATATGAAGCTGACAAACCTTGGTGTTAAATGTGACCCACTTAATTTTGAAGTTAAAAACTCACAAATCAGTATAATCTGCTCCATGTCTCCTAATATGTCTGTGAAATGTTAAAGCTATAAGATTAAGTACTAGTGTTCTGTATAGTCTCTAACTCACTAACAGCATTCATACCAGTTTGTTAGAACATCTGAAGGAATACTACTGATACTACTACTAACTAATGAATGTTAATCAAGTTTACTTGTATTTTCAGTTGTATTGTGTACAAAAAACTGTGCTAGATGAAGACATCACGTAACAATTTAAATGTTGCTGTAAATGTTAATATTGTTCAATATTCTATCCATTCCATGTGTTCACTTTTGTAAATGTCATCCTGCTGTGCTGTTGATCAGTTTCTCAATCTCATTGGTCTCAAACGCTGACCAAATGGTGTCCTGTTTCAGATGTCCTAACAAAGCTAAACAGGTTTTAATAAGAAAGCAACCATGAACAAAAAGCAATGTTATTGTCCAACACATGCTGTGAATAGTGGAATGTGTATTCAGAATCATCAAAATGAATTTCCAGCTGTGTAGCAGTGGTTCTCAGCCATGTTCTGTCTTTACCAAAAACAAACACTACGTTACTGTGAAACCCTCTCTGGTTTAAATCAGAGGAATTAGCTGCCGTTGTGTTTGGATGGTTAAATTCTGAGGGTATAAGTGTAACATTATTGAGAATATCTGCTATGCCGTTTATTGTACATCACATAATTTTGAAAGATTTGCACACTTCTGTTCCCTAGCTTAACAAAGCATCTGACATATTTGAGCTTGCTTCTAGACCTGGACTTGGTCTCACACCTCAGCAACATGTGGACAAAGCCAGTTTGACATAACTTTACACACACATTGTATGTTGAGCTTAGCTCGCCTGAGAGTTTGTCTGTTAGCTTAGCTATTCAGATTCTGTCTCCCATAAAGCAGTTAGTTCATTAGCATTTCATGTCGATATTAGACTGCAGTTTTACATTGCCATGTCTGTACCTTCCTTATAGCTCTTATAATGAATGACATGAATACCTTATGAATGTCAACTTCTCATGCTTGCTCTTAATTAGTGGAAAGAGGGACTACTTTCATTCACTAAAAACAGACATCACTAAGGTCATTGTACGTGCTGACTCCCAATGAGGGCGATAGACTGCTATACAATCCCTTTCTACCAAATAACACTGCCCCCTGCTGGTTCCAAACCACATAGACCAAAAGCAAGCCAAGCGTCCCTTTCAACAGGAGAACACACTCATGCTCAAGTACTTTTTGTAATGCCCAAACAAGGTTTCGGTTTCAAGGGTAATTTAAGTGAATTTCAACTTTTCCCCCTTTTTTATCCATCCATGAGTTTATCTGTATAATCACTAAAAAGAAAAAGAGCTGGTTGTTCCTTGTAGTTTTAAAATTCTGAGAAGGTAATATCACTTGCTTCGTACATGCTATATTAACTGTGTGATAAGGGCTCACAAGTAGATGTCCCTAACATTGTTCTCTGCTAACAGGGTGGCTACTGAAAACATATAGTAAATAACAGATGCTTGAAATGTTATGGTATTCTACTAAAATGCAAGACCATGATGTTATTTGTTAAAATGTAAGCATGTATTTTGATCAGTAATCTATGAACAAGAGGAAATCAGTTATAATGTTTTATTTCAAATGGAGATAATTGATTGAATTCAACATGCACCGTTAGCCTTATCAATTATATTGCTTGGCATCTCATGTTTTGTGTTTCTTTCTTTTTTTTGTGTACAGTATATTATAAGTTTGCTTTAAATTTAGCTGATAGATTATATTGAAAATGAATATTAAATACTTTCACCCCTCTTGTATTACTTCTGTAAAGGTGCATAATTGTGCGTGTTTAAGTGTTCAGTTTAGGCAAAGAGCTGGCTGAAAATGGTTTTAATAACTGCTGCATGTCTTGTGTTTTCCCCTGATGTGTGGAATTAATATGCAGAATGTAAAGGCTTTAAAGTTGGGAAGAGACTGAAAGAGATGTCACTTAGTTTCTATCGGATTACATGCAGTTGTGTCCCTAAAACGTGGCAGAATGTGGCAACATTTCAGTTTTTAGGGTTGAATTGGAAAGCATTAGCTGGTAGAAATGACAGCATATTGGAGTTTCAACCATGAAGCAGAAATTGGGTGAATAAATCATTACAGTCATGCCATGGAGTGGAGCTTAGTGGAGTGTGGTGTCTTGCCACAAGCAACAATGAATTAATATTTAGTTACTGTTTGTTTTGACTCTTGAGTTATGTGCTCGGGACCTGGATGCACTTTGATGAAATTGAGTCTTTTTATTTATATCAGAATTTAAAGTTTATATTGAATTCACGATTTTCACATTCAGAATTCCATTTTGACAACCCTGATTTTTAGAAAAGCAAATCTCTTCCCACTAAGCCAATGGGACCATTTTGGTTTCCATTAAGTGTTTTATAACTTAACAAGATTCCAATATGCAGAACTAAATCTTGCAACTTCTAAAAGAGTTTTTTCTTTTCTTTTTCATTTTGATGTGGTAAGAAGATCAGCATGTGTTGGTGTTGATTGTATACAAGGTAGTATGCTACTGGGAGGCTGAAGGACTCTGGCTGTTAAGCTAACTGTGCCTTATTGTGCTATACTGACCATTATAAACAGATTTTGTGTGAAAACGGTAAAAAAGTTGTATTGCATTTCTCAAACCATGATATTTAATGTTCGATTTCTGTCCTTGGGTCTACTGTTTGTAAGTTTACAAATCATTGGAGTCTTTCATTTTATGTAAATAATTTTTTTTTTTTTAATTTTTAATCACTTTTGTGGCTGTTTATCCTAAATTCACTCCTGTCTGCGTCTTTGCACCATGCTAACACAACCATAATCTAAATATTTATAAAAAAAATTTGTCTTTGACAATATTTGCGATATTTTGTGTTTATAGGGCTTTTTACGCAAAAGAAATTTAAATATATCTGTATCTGTGTATGAATGCATTTGAGGACAGTGTTCACATGTTTGGACCTCAGTACTGTAGATTGTCTCAGCAGTGAACTCAGTCCATTATGTCCTTCCAGTAGCAGACGTACTGTGTGCTTTCTCATCAGGGCAACCGTTTTTCAGATTGTGTCAGTATTTCCACTACCTCTGTAGCCGTCATGTCAGAGTGAGGAAAAGTACCACACGGGTATTGAAAACTGATTTATGTTTTTGTAATTCTAATAGAATGTTATCACCTATCACAGTAGCTAAATAAATAAAGTATATATCCAAATAAGCCACCTGACTCCTGTTTATAACTGAATGGTTCAATTGTTTGAAACATTCAATGTTTTAATACTAGCTTAGCTGACATTTTGTGTCATATAATGTGATGTTACCACGTGTTTCATCAAAGCTGTACTGTCACAGAGGAAGAGCTGCTATTATTCAAAGGCAGATTACAAATAAGTGGGAAATGAAATGACCCAAAGTAAAACAAATGGGTTTTCCTACTTTTTTCTTTGGTCAAGGAAAAACAATTAGACTGCTATATTAACCACATGTTTGATCAATATTTTATTTTTGATTGGGCTCCATAGATCATCACGAGTAACATCATAAAAATATGCAAATAATTATACTTATAATAATAGTATGCACAACAATAAATTATGAACTAATGTGGGTACGATCAGTCAAGAGACAGTATGTGCTGCAGATTCATTTCATCCCCACAGAAGTTTAAATTGTAGCGGCTGACCTGCCTCAAGTCTTTTTTTCAGATCTCCTGCTGACAGAGAGACAAACAAACCCAACCAGTCTCAAGTCATCACATATGGACACTTGGGCAAGACCCCTTGGTGTCACTTTTTAATGCACTGGATACCCCTTTAGTACCATCAGGTCAATGTCAGGTGATGTAGTCAACCCATTCTCCACCTAAAACACTAGGTGAAAACAGAAACACCATGCTGGAGGTAAAATTCCTTTAGCAAGTCAACACACTGAACAATAATATTTGTGTGTAGTTACATTTAGAGTCAGCACACAAGATCACCTGGATGGGACCAGCTCCTCTCTTTACACTTAAAGTGCAACTCCTCCTGCTCTCCGCCTGCATCAAACCCAGTAACAATCAAGCATGAGACTGTCACTAATTCTGCCTGGCAACCAATCCCAACCCACGGTTTTAAAGATGCAAACCCGAACCCCACCACCACTTCAAACTCCTTACCCTTTGTCTCATTAGCATGCAATGCTTTGCCGAGGCTGCACGTGCCGATGATGGCTGGAGACCCTCAGGCGGAGTTTCAGGCTAGATTTTAATGGGGCGGTATGGGTCAAACAGGAGGGGAGAGAACAATAATCCTCTCCAGTTTTCTGTGATAGGCGTTTCAGTACAACCGGGTAGGGGTGGGGAGGGAGCGGGGGCGGGGGTGGGGGAGAGACCTGTTGGGGTTTGAATGCAGAAGAAGTTGACCTTCAAATCAGTGTCAAACTCTATCCCCTGTAAAGCTGCAGCGTTTTAGGTCGGCTGCCTTTGAGTCCTGGCGGTTGGCTATTAGATGTCACATCAGCGTGCAGGCCAGCTTCACTAACAATGTTGTGATAATAGGTTAAACACTGAAGGGACACAGGCAACCCAGTGGAGATGTTACCATTCTTTTGATGTGGAGTTGAGCTGGTAATTGCCTTTCAACTACGTGCTTTCAATCGTTCTTATTTTTCTGATTTCCTTTGTGATGTCTTTTACGTGAGTTCCATAAACATAAAAACAGGACTGTCTGACTTATATTGGAGGTTTGGAAGCTTAAGCTTTTTCCCTGCTTTACTGGCTATGAAAGCATCTGTATGGGAGCAGCAGCCAAATGTAACATTTGGAAAAATAAAAACACCGATTGTATTTATTGTTTATTACTTTTAATGTCTTTCATGATTTATGCATAGATAAACTTGAATATGTATGAATATGTGTGCACGAATGCCCCCTGCAAATACTCACTCACTTATTGTGCATTTTTAATAATAAATAATTTTTTAACAATAAATTTTAGGAAATGTTGCCTGTTAAATAAAATTAATGGAGCATCGCATTACTTTAGACTGAGCACTGGAGTTGTTTTATTAGCTGATTGGCATCAGCTGTTTCATTCATGCTTCACAATCACCGGCTCATTCACAGCTGACTTGTAACTTCCAATCATATGATGTAGAGCGCAGGATTTTTAACCTGACACAGCTCTGTTGCTGTCAGCTGCCACAAGCACCACCTCATTCTTTATGTGCAATATTTTTGGTATTGTTGATTTAACTAAGATCTTTGTAAACATTTCTTTAAAGGGGAGAAGATTGGTACTCTCATGTCTGTTCATTAAATATAATGCTACAGCCGGAGGCAGTTGTAATTAGCTAGCCTGACTTTGTTCGAACAATTTCTTGAAAGAAGAAAGCAAATACATTTCCCATAATGTCGAACAACTTCTTCAATCTGCTAATCACCAATCCTTATGTTTCCTGTAAGGCAAAGAACTTGACTTGGGTAACAAAACTGAGGAAGAAATTAAGCTTTTCTGCAGACTGTTCCTTTGCATTAGCTGTCACTGACTAGCATCCATCATATCAGAGGTGGATGATTCCAAATGAATGATTCTAACATGTACAAAGCCAAAATTGTCTGCCTCCAGTATTACAGAATATCTACTGGTGCAGGAAACAGCTCTCCAAGCATCAGTATAAAACCCTGTTGTCATGCTGCATACAGCGACTGTGTGAATGAAACCAATAAACGGCAGCCCTAAGGCATTCTGACCCAAACTGGACCTCAAACCGTCATGCCCAAAAGATACAAGCTGCACTGGTGTCTCAACAAGACACACATTAACCTTTTCTCCGTTATTTTTCTGTGGAGATCTCCCACTTTGAAGTGCTTCCATTTAACCTTCATTTAACTTTTGTGTCATGCACTCCCAGGCGCCCCACTTTGACAGCGGAAGCCTTTAGAAGTCAGAAAAGGCCTGAGGCTATGGATGGCATATCAGCACAGCTGTCTGCTCCAGCGCCAGGTTGTGGAGTGAAGAACTAGCTGTTCGTTCTCCTGCGAGTGTTCTGCCACTTACTGATTGGATCTTAGTGTCAGGAAGACACTTTAAAAAGACATTATCCTGATCTTAAAGGCCCAATGAGTCGGATTTTTACTGGTAATTATTCAGACACCAGTATAAAACCACCAACCTTGCAAAATGTTGAAAAATATGATCTATAGCAGACATTCCTTCTAATATGGTTGTGTCTATTATTTAATTTTTCAACTGATTTTTTTGACCACTTGGGGGCAGCGCAACAAGCTGTAAACACAATAGCGACACGTTGGCCAATAGTTGTTGTACATGACTTTAGCATAAACGAAGCTGTGTTTCTGACCACTTCGAGAACAGACCTCCAATGTTCACTCTCGTTTTGGCTCTTTTTTGGTCACTACAACCCGCTCTCTCTCCCCAACTCGTCACATATGGAAGCATGGTCAAGACCCATCGGCATCGGATCCCTAGAGTGTCATAGTTCAACGCAGTGGGCCAGAACCCTGAACCCTTGACAAAAAGTCAACATTAAATATTTTTATTTGTTACGTGAGTTACGTAAGTTAACTTATGGGTTAACTGACCTACATAGTTATTTTAACCCAAACCATGATCTGTTCCTAACCTTAACCAAGTAGTTTCTGTGTCTAAACCTAACCAAATTGCAACGTTGTTTTGAAACGCTACCGTTTTATTTTGAAAGTAATTTATTGTTACTAAGCATTGCTAACTTGACGCTAAAGGGGTACCCAGGGCGTTGAAAAGCGATGCCAAAATGGAGATTTCTATAACTCTTGTTTTTTGCCTGTGCCCTTCTCAGTACTCTGAAATGGGTGTGGCTTAGTTCGAAAAATGTCATACCCTTCCATGCACCAATCAGGATTTAGCAATATTTGAATCAGAATGTGATTACAGATGTGAGTTTGTTTGCTAATGTTGCCAGGCTGTTTTCAAATCTGATAAAACCACACCCACACCGTCCCGATTACGTAGATTAGCTGACTTTCTAAATGTTAATCCCTTGATAAATTATTCCTATGGCCATTTTTTGTTTTAACGTTAACTTTAACTTTGTGGTTGTTCTTCACTTTACCTTTTTTCTCCAAGATCTTTATTATTCTGCCGCCCAAAAAAAGGGGGTCCAAGGCAGGCTGTTGTGGGTGTTGAAAGCGACCAATCAAAGGAGAGGAGGCATCAGCCCCTGTCTATTCAATCCCTGCCTCCAAGAGACTAATTAAACACCATACATTTGGCCTCCCTTTGCTTCACCGTGTTATTAAATATATCCTTTGGTGTGTTTTTTTTTTGGTTGCTGCACTTCACTAATGTCTATTTTGTGTAATACACCAATAGTTTTACATTCTTTATATGACATTATTAATTTCTTTGTGTTACAAATACTATAAATATTGTACAGACATATGAATGAAGACTGGCTTTATTTAAGCTGAAACATCCATCCACCTGACTATTTCCTATTTACTGTCTTACATATATTTACATACCTGAGTGTATGTTAATGTCTCTCTCTTCCTATGATATTTATAATTTTATTTGTTATGGCTGTTAATTCATTCATTGTGGAATTATGAGTCAACTAAGGTGACAAACCCTGTCTTTGCATAATATGACTGGAGAAAATCAGCTGGGATTTTGACACTGACTCCAGATTTTCCACCTAATTGCAGTTTTTATAGCTCTGTAATAGACTTATTAACCAAACAAGCCTTCAAACGGAGCGCTTTGATTTGGGTTACACAAGCGTGACTGCTGTGTGTAGCATCATCCGGCGCTGGAGGGAATAATGAGTCCAGAAGGAAAATCATTTTTGAGCATCTGAGGTTGTGACAGGTTTTCTCGGGCTTTAGCAGAGATGAAGTCAGACAGTGAAGATCTGCTTTTCTGCTTTGATCTGGCCTGCCTTTCCACTTAACTTCTGATGACACTGCACTTAGAGAGGGCACCATGAAGATCTCCCTCTGACTTTCACCTAAGACGCTCTTAATATTGAACCCATATGGAAAAAAATGCGTCTCAGCTGCTTAAGAGGCAGGTGAAAGGGAAAATGTTTTACCGATCAAAATTTGAGCCAACTCATCCTGTGCAAACGCAGCTGTAGCTCAATATCTGAGAGACATGCCTCATTTCTGTACACTCTGTGTATGTCTTGAGCATTTTTGCATGACTGTATGCCACATTTGCAGGCACAAAGCTTCAGCC